TTTCTCGTATCTACTATTCAGTAGAAGTCAAGACTTTTTCAGATAGATATCCCATGGACCTGGTGCTATTCATTAAAGTAACAACCCTTTCCCAAGTAACACCTTTGTCATAAATTGACCATATAGGTATGAGGTTATTTCTGGACCCAATAGATGGAACATCTATCTCTTCGGTTTCATTGGTCTATTTGTTGATCTTGCCCCAGTAACACCCTATCTTAAGTGCTACAGTTTTATGATAAACTTTGACATCCAAGACTATAAGTCTTTCAACTTTGTTCTTGTTATTCTTTGAGATTATCTTTGCTATTCGTGGGCTTTTCATTTTCATACAAATTTTGAATTAAATTGTTAATTTCTAAAAAAATTATTCTTTTTTTAATTTTTTTAATTTTTATTTTTTATTTCTTTTTTACATATTTCTTTTTTTTAATTTTTTCTCTCTCTATATTTTATTGATTTTTTACAGAGAGGAAGGAAGAGAGACAGAGAGTCAGAAATATCGATGAGAGAGAAACATCGATCAGCCGCCTCTTGCACATCCCCCATGGGGGATGTGCCCACAACCCAGGTACATGCCCTTGACGGAATCGAACCTGGGACCTTTCAGTCCGCAGGCCGACGCTCTATCCACTGAGCCAAACTGGCCTCGGCAAAAAAATTATTCTTGAGATTTTTTTCTGAGGACTGTATTAAATCTAAAAGGTAAGTTTGGGGAGAATTCAAATTGTACAACACTGGGTCTTTTATTCCATGAATATTTTATATTTCCTTATTTGTCTTTAATTTTCTTGAAATGTTATTTGTTTTATATTTACTTTATACATATTTTCTTATATTTATTCCTAGGTGTTTCTCATTTCTATATAGTAGAAATGGTGTTATTTTTTTAAATTATTATTTCTAATTGTTTATTGCTGCTTTATAGAAATGCAAATAATTTTCTAGTGACCTTACTAAATTCACCTCCTTATTTTAGTGTTTTATCTATAGATTCTTTTGGGTTTTCCTCAAACACAATCATGCCTCTAAAAAAAAAACAGTTTAAGTTTTTCTTTTTCCATCACCATATACCGTTTTATTTTCTTTTTAATTCGAATTCATACTTTCTGGTACCTCTCCATGAGTCTGTAGTACTCTACCTAGATAGAAAAAATCAGTAGAAATACCCACTATGAAATTTCCATGGAAATATTGGAGCATGTAAATCATTCCTTTGGACTCAGGATTAATAACTTCCAAATCATTTTTGTTATATTCTTTTGGGGAAATGTTGTTAGAATATATCTACTGCTGAAGCTGCATTTTTAAATGTGTTACATGTTTTCTGGTAACTTGCATTGAGAATTGATTACTGTGGAAAATAAATTAGAAAACTGTTCTGGAGCCCAGAGCTTAATGGACAAATGTTGGGGGTTACAGTTCCCTAATTTGTTGTACTTTTTTCTGAAATCTGAAAAGTTAATGAATTTGACTTCTAAATATATTTCCAGCGCTGATTTTTTTCATTCATGTTATCTAATTATTGTTTTCCTCAATCATTTGTTAAATAAAATTTCAGTCATATGTTGTCATCAGAGGGAATACGATTTCAAATTAGAATTTGAGTTTCTAAATGGAAGCGTTTATTAAATATGTAACCAAACATTGCCTTTGGGTAAAAATGCAGATACGTTAAAGATATTTTAATAAAATCAAAACCATAGATTTGAAATATGGCATTGAAAGGTATTTGGTGCATTGATAAAGTTCCCTGGAGGACTCTGGGTGTTTAAAGCAACAGTTTGATTGAACAGAACAATAAATGCAGGGGTATTTTTTCTCTTTCTTTCTCATCTACTAGAAAAATATAGATAATAGAGCTCATTTATTTCCTTAACATTTCAGAGCTCTGCAGATGGGAAAACACAACCCAGTGGAAATTATTTCTGGCACCTTGAGAAGATATGTTAGCATTTTGTGGCATTTCTTTCAGTGACATGTAAAGCATGGCTTTCCCTCATTGCAGTGTCACAGTGAAGTGTCACAATAAAGCCAAAATAGTGTGCCCTCGGGGAAAACGAGGGAAAGGGGCCATTTTCCATGCGCACACAAAAGGTAATATTTATTATAAAGCCTTTTCATTTTAGCTCCGAATGCTGTCGGGGGCCATGGCTACTTTGCAATGGAGAAGCGCACCGAGTGTGAGATTTAAAGCAAATGTTATGTATAAATCTAATGTAATTTATGTAAATATAAATTAGACGTAAAAAGAGGGAAGTGCCTTTATGGACGTGCAAGCAGGCATGCATCCGCACCGTGTGTCGGAGAGAGAGTTTGCGATGCTGCGGAGTGGCAGCATCAGCCTGATGTTGATGGAGTCCAAAGAGCACTGATCTGGGGGTCAGATCAGCTCTATCTTGACCTATTTTTGTTCTTACCAGACCAGATGTTACCTTCTACCAGCCACAGGTGATATGAAAATTGTTACCCTTGTTCTATGGATAAGGAATTTGGTTTTCCAAAAGACTCAATTCTATGTTCCAGATTACACAGCTAATATTACGTAAGGAACGTCATACACAGCGTATCTAATACAATAACTTTATTTTTCAGTTAAATGTGTACTTTTGATAAAACCTTGTATTTCCTCTTCATCTTTGACACAGTTATTATTTGGATCCAAATACTGATCTTGAGTTTTATTGCCATTAAATGTCACCTCGTTAGATTCATTCTACTGCCCCATCTCTGGACAGTTTGGGGGTCTTGATTCCATTCCGCAGCATGCTTTTCATGGCCGCAGGTCAGTAGCACCCCAGAGCTAACGGACATCGTCGATACCTGCACCCGAAGCATGGGGCAACGCCTGGTGACAGGCAGCTTCCTTCCAGTTAGAGAGGTGGCTGGTTTACCCAGGCACCACTTCACCCAACTGCCACATGCATATGGAAATCACCCCAGTTCATTGTTCTGATTTGGCGACACGCAGGAGGGAGCCTGAGCCCTGGGGCCCGCAGACTGGGATTCAGCACCACCAATGACCGGATCTGTGATGTGGGGAATGTAATTTGTCTTTATAAGTACATGTAGGCAACAGTATTAACCAGACAAAGTTTGTAAGGGTGTTACAGGTAGTAGATGTGTAGTCCCATTCATCACCCCAACCACCAAAGAAAAACAGGACATTTTTCTGGCTGACCAGTTCTTTTTAACCACCCCGACCACCCACGTCTCCTTGATCAGTGTTTCCAGGACTGACATGTCTTCATCTTCGTAAACTTTCCCAGCCTCTTTCCATTGTTCTGCTTAAGTTGGTTTTAAGAATCCACTCTTTTTTCCTGCTTTAATATATGAGTGATATTTTTTAGAGCTCTTTTATTTTCTATAAACCTTAGTTTGAGATAATCCTTTAGTGGTCTTGTATTTCTTCTGAGCATCTTTGATGGAGATTCACTTGATGTAGGAGACTTTCGTTTAGGGAACTTCTTGAGCTTTTTTTTTTTTTATATAACTAGCAAATTTATTCCCTTTGATATGTTTTTTTCTGTCCCTCCTTCTTCAAAGGTCAATCTCCTTGAAAAGAAGGCAAGGGGAAGGGTAGTTCTGTGTCTCTGGGCTTGGTCTCATGCCATCCTAACCATATTTGTAGGCTGTTTTCCTTGACGAATTGGTAGGCTCAGGTCATGTAAGTTTCTGTTTGCTGCGGTCTTCTTATAAAGGCCTATGTTTGCTCTCTGGTTATATTCTCTTTTGCTCTATCTTCTATGCATGGTCAGTTTAAATTTGAGCTCTGAAGAGAAATTTTACACAAGCACATTAGCTTATTTAGGCACTACACCCTTCTCTTCCTCAGAATAATTTTAAATTCTTCTATTTTAATCTATTTTTGAGAGATTTCTAACCCTCTTGAATGATCTCTCCTTCCAGAATCTTTTTTCCCCCTGGAAGAAATAGTATTTTTTCTTCTGACATTTTTTAAATCTACTCTTTGAAATCCAAGGATGCATGTATAACAATAATCAAGTAATTCTCATGAATGGGCCACCATCTTTGCATTAATGTTTCTAAAGAGAACAACTTAAGGCCTTTATCTATTTAGTAATATTACTGAGCATTTCATCAATTTTTTAGTGATGGAGCAAGGAATAACATAATACTTTGAGACTCACTGTTGCCTAAACCCTCTGGTCTTCCTGTATCTTGCTAAGAGAATGCTTGTCTTAACTCCAATACGTAGAGTGATCAACATTAAATCTGAGTGAGCTGGATGCAGGAAATCTATTTGAAAGGACCACCCTCTGGAGCATTTTCAAATAAAACGCTATGAAAACAGGAGTAAGAATAAATTGTTGCCCATTGTTGTGAAATCCAGTCTTATTTCTCCTCCTTTTCTGCGTTTGTTCTGTGTGCTAAAAGGGTGAGAATAAAAAAATAGAGTGCCACATAGCATCTTTTTACTTTTTTGGGGTGGGGGGGCTTCTGGAGACAGGCTGATTACATGTTCATCACGTCCCCTCCTTTCATTCTCCCTTCTTCATGTCAAAGCTCAGGATGTGGCATCTCAAGTTTGATGTGCAACTGTAGCAGAGATAAGCATTGTGGGTAGCAAACAGCTATGGAAAAACCTTGCAATTTATCCATCCTGGGCATGTGTGTTTTTTTTTGTATCCGGTGGTAATTTTTCACATTAGCTGTTTCTTAGGATTAGCAAGCCAGTTCAAATCTTGTTTCATCCTTCCCTGGGTATTTCGTGTCGCGCCAAGCGAAGCACAGATTCACATATGCTTCCTCAGGATTAAGGATGATCTTTGGACAGGCAATAACACAGAATCCACAATAAGAGTCAGCGGATGGGCTGTGTTCTTTCATGCCAACAACAAACCCTAAACTTTAGGGTTTTCCAAAAACAAGCCCTAGGCTATTACTCCCAAGTTCCCACAGACTTGGAGTCATACTCATGAACGTCAAATAGCAGTCAACTCTTTTACCGTGTTCTTCATTTGCCTCCATCCCTACAGTGCGGCACATGATTGCTCCATGGCAAAGAAGAGGAGAGCTGAAGAGCAGGCCTCGTGGGTCCCTGTCAACAAGAGAAAGTCCCTGCTGATGAAGCCCCGACACTACAGCCCAAGCATGAACGGCCAGGAGGGGCCCGATACCAGGACGGAGGTGGAGGAGGACAGCGGCCTGCTGGGGACCAACGCCCACCGGACCCCAGGTAGCAGGGAGGGGCCCAAACTCTCCATTTGCCCTCAGGCACCAAAGACTCAGTCTTCGCTTCTGCAGAACACATAGAGCTTTTGTGTTGGAATTTGGAAGCAAGATTAAATATTTTTTTCACGTCGAATCCATTTAGTGAGGGCTGATTTTTGTCTGTAACTGTGCGATGTCTCAAGCTAAGCACCAGGGAGGCCTTGCCCTGTGTTCATTTTCAAAATGCAGGGTTGGACTATGCCTCTTTATGAAGAATATGAAAGATACTAAATCTGGAAGCTGAGGAATACCTTGACTCCCAAATAGGGTAGATGCCTAATGCCTGAAAGAACCTTTCAAAATAAAAGGGCAGATTTAATCTTGAGAATATTTAAGATATGATGATACACATGAATAAAGCAAAATATTTTTGTTTTGTAAATATATATAGTATTAGTTAGCCCTCAAAATATAATTGGTGATAACAACATGGACCAATGCAGGTGGGATGCAACCTTAATATTTTCAACATTTAAAAAATAAATATTTATAACAACGGACTGCAGAAGGACGTAAAGTTGGCTGTCTAGCATCTCCATCTAGAAAACTGATAAAGAAAATTTATTACTATGCCCACTATTTCCAAAATACAATCATTTCAATTTACCTATAAGCACGCATTATGTTTCATGGATTTAATTCTTCACTCATTAAATGCTGTTTGCATTACAAGTTATATGTAGTTACAATCTCAGAATTTTAGGGTGTTTCTCCCCAATTCACAGTTACTCTCATTGGTCCCTGGTAGTCACAGTGCCTCCAGGAGTCAGAATATCACCAACCACATTGTGCACGAGGCTGAAATTAAAGGAAATGCAAAATATCTCAAAAATTATATTTAAAAAAAGAAATCTAAAGCTTGACTTATTAGAAAATGAAATTAGGTGTTCTAAATTAAATACACATGTTTTTTCTAAATGTGACTTTATAGGAATCAAAATATACCAAATGAATTGTAATTTGAAAAAAAAGTATATATTATACAAACCAAAGGCAACAAGAGTGTTAGATCATAAATATCTATTATATATAGAAATATAGTAACAGCAGTAGGTGTCAACAGAAAAGATGTAAAAGCATATGAAAGATGAGTGAGCACGAATCTCAGATCACCATCCACAGATCTCTAGTGATCTTGGCTTACAAGTAGCTTGAGGTTCTGTAGTTAAAAAAAAGTTATATTCTGATTTGATGATGTTTAAGTAAATTTTCTGACTTTCCTGTATTTAACATATGGCTTAAAGCCTCATGGCTCATTGGTAAATTATAATCATCTTTGACTTTTTTTGTTTCCTCGAGTTGGTTAGATTTTTGTTGATTCATGAAAATTGCAGATAGAATCTAGAAAGTCCTTGAATCAGTGTGGTTGGACTTGGACTGTATCTGCCCACTGATGGTATCATGATGTGTAAGCATTGTAGATGCTTAGTATTAAACAAGAAAATATATTGTCGAAATGTACTCAGTTAAAATTTTAGTTGTAAGTGTTGATGGACATCTATTTGCAGGTTCATAAATGTTACCTATTTTTTATATTTAGTACTGGAATCACTACTAATAACAATGAATATGCCGAAATTCCAGAAGTAGTGGCCATTATTGTTGAATTTTTAATATATTCTTGGCAAATAAGTCATATCCCTTAATCTACCTGACAATGACATGTGTATGATTATGGACAGGATTTTACAGACATGATGATTAAGGACCACGGAGATTTAACGCTTAAGGTGATGCAGCTTGTAAATGTTGAGAAGGACATAATTAGGAAACAATTGAAGAATAAGCAAAATAACCAGCTAGCCATGCTTCAGCAGCTAATTCTCCCCAAGCTCTGACCACCTTCAGAAAGCAGACTGCGCAAAGTTTCTGCAACATTAGGTCAACATTTCCAGAAATGACAGGTCACAGATGCTCCTATCTCTGGTCAAAAGAGCAAAACTCTTTTAAGTTTTCTTTAGTCCTTTGAGCAAGTGATCCCCCACCCTCAGAAGAAAGAGAGCTAGGTTGGTCCCCAGGCCCAGTGTAAGGGCTTCTCATCTCTCTCTCATTTACTGCTGGTACTCCAAGGTTTTTGCCTGGCCAGGGGTGCGCCCGGTTGTGTCCTCAGTGGGCAGTTCAGGTGCTGAAGAGAGAGGGTCTAGTGCTCCTGGAAGTTCACATCATGAGCTTATATCCATTTAATGGCAACACTCCACCCTGGACCCTCCATGTGGTAAGAAAGCTCCACCTCACTTATGTGGAGGGTCCCATGTAGCCTCTGCCTTTCCCATGTTGAAGGGGGAAGAGAGCCACCTTCCTGAATAGCTGCGGGGTGTCACCTGCTCTCCCGCGCGCCCCCCCCCCATGTCTGCAGGTGCCTCCCCGTGTGAGGGAGGACGCCAGGATCAGAGAGGTTAGGGACCTGTCAGCGTTGGAACAGAGATGCATGCCAGGCCCAGAATCAAGCCTAGATTCCTCTGATATGAAAGGCAGAAATCTTCTAGTGATTTCGGTGGCAAAAGCACAAACTAAGTCACGAGGCCACCCTGGGACATAGAAACACACTCGCATAAAGAAGTAGGCAGCCCGTCACAGAGCTGGGAGAAACAAGTGTCTTGTCGCAGACCTGTCGGCTTCAAAGGCTCACTGAGAGCGAGTCACAGAAGGAAAGTCGGACTGCAGCTTTTCAGGCCATCCCTGGAAACCTTCGTGTGCAATGCGCACAGGCATGGCTGTCGGCAGGACTCCTCTCTTTCTGAGGAATAATTAATAAATATTTTCTTTTAGCATATAACAAACAGTTGAACCAAGCAATTATGTAAACTGGAAATGACCCAAAATGCTAGCAGTTGGCAGCGGCACAGTGAAGTGCATTGTCGTGCACATGTGCATTTTTTGTCACTCCCGCCTCTCTGGTGATCTGCACTTAATAGGAATATTTTAAACTATGTAGCTAAGCAACAGAGGTAATTGTTGCTTTCTAGAGCTTTTGTTAGCACTCTACCACAGCCCAAATATGCATAATTAGGTATAATGTCTATAAATCATTATTGTACACATGTGGGTAGTTAAGTGGAGTGAGAGAATAGTTCAATGAATTGAGCATATTCACTGAAAATGCTTTTTATTTGTTTTCTGTAGTTCATAATACTTTAAAATTATCATAACCCTTTACACTTTCTCTTAATCACCAACCGTGATATTGAGAAAAACTTCATTTGCATTTTAGACTATGTTTAATATATTATTTAAACCTGGAGTTCCTCTGATATGAATTCAGGAGAGGATAGACCATCCTATCAAACATTATGTGCTTGTTTATCCAGTCTCTTTTCTAGGAAGTAAAATGTTAAATTTTTCAGTTTATGTTGAATAGATCCCAACAAAAGACTGCACCCTATAATCAGCATTATTTAAAGGGGCTAGTGTTGTGACTAAATTCTTCCCTTCATCCAAAAATGCTTTTAGTTACTATGGCAATATTTACTTGATCCTGGCAGTCCAGTGTTGATTTAGGGAGATAATTACCAGAAAGGAAGATGATGGAGATGTATTTTTGAGTGTCCTTGTCAGAGACAATGTTTATAAAAAAAAATTAAATGAGACAAAAAAAGCCTCATTGTCTTCTGCTCAGACACCCTCGCCCACAGCCCTCACATTGGATGGCCGTGCTTTTCTTCCCTCCATAGACGCTTATTAACACAGAATGCACTTCACTTGGTGTCTTTAGCAGTCCTTAAGGTAGCTGATTATTTTGTGTTGCCCGTCCCCCATTCCCCTCCTGCTCTTCCTTCTCTTCCTCCTCCTCCTCCACCTCCTCCACCTCCTCCTCTTCCTCCTCCTCCTCCTCATTTTTTGGTCATAGTATTCACTAAAGGAAGCATTGCTGGGTTGTCTGGTGCATTTCACAGCCTGGTATGTGCTGGGTGCTGTGCTCGCTGGAGGACACCTTGACCTGGGCAAGGGTTAGGTCATCAGATAATCTGGACCCTTCACTGGTGTGTTTGCACTGGGACACACACACACACACACACACACACACACACACACACAATCTTATCACCCCCACTGGGCCATTGCTGAGAAGGAAAGGGGGTGACGCTGACAACGGCCCTGGGACAAGAGGGATGGGTTGACTGTCCCAGGCAGACCAGCACTGGGGCCTGTTCTCAGTCCTTGACTGCCAGGACTCCAGCTGGTCCTGCACCGAGAACAACAGTTAACATTCAACATCCTCCAAACATCCCCATCTCCCGTCTCATTTCCGTTTCACACAAATGCACGAAGCACCAGACCAGAAAATGTGTTACCGTGTAAGATGTGATTTGATCATGCTGCTTTCCCCATTTGCTTGTGTTTCCTTCCACATGGAGCTTTGGGTGACAATTATGAAAGTGGCCAGGAAATCTAGAAAGCTTTCAGAACTTGTTTAGTTATCGTCATGTAGATGAATTTCGTATTTTAACGAAATCCCATCAAATCTCAAAGTATGTTTGAAAAAAACTATGAAGACAGAAAACTGAAACCAAATAAGCTTTGAAGATATACTCCCATGCTAACAGAGAAATCTGATGATTATTTCCTTTATAGTGCCTGGCATTATATTATTTGATTTCTAGGTGGCTAAGATTTGCAAATGTAAGAGGTAAAGTAACAATAATTTCGCTTTCAGCATTCTGTTACTATTGTGTATGGACTTCAGTACCCTAGAAGTACTTAGTTCTTAATATATTAAAATTCTAAAAGCTCATTTCTTTAAAGGTAATGCTCAGATTATGAAGGTCTAAGTTTTGTTTTAAGAAGATATATATTTTCTCCCTAATGCTTTTAAAATTAATAGAGCCTACATATTCACATATTTTACATATTATATATACATATGTGTGTATATATTATGTGTGTTTTCTTAAAGTGTTTTTGAAAATATTTCTTAAATAATTTTTAATTATTAAATAAATTTAAATAATTTTCTTAGAAAAATTTCCATAAACGATTTTTGTTCTTGTCTTTCAAATACTGGCGTGTGTTTTTCCCCTTAGAAGAAATCATGACAAAACCTCTGGATGAGACTGTTCATTCAACGGCACAAGAAAACTCTCATGGGAAGGAAGACAGATACGGTTGCTACCAAGAGCTCGTGGTCAAATCCTTAATGCACGTGGGGAAATTTGAAAACAGTGCATCTGTCCAGACCACAAATGAAAACTTCAATGACAGTGGCATCCAGTCTCTCAAAGCAGAGAGCGACGAGGTGGACGAGTGCTTTGTGGTTCATTCCGATGACGGGAAAGACTCCCAGCGCAGGTTCTGCTCCTCCGATGACAATGAAAGCAACTCGGAAAGTGCAGAGAACGGCTGGGACAGTGGCTCCAGCTTCTCCGAAGAAACCAAACCACGTAGAGTTCCAAAGTACATTTTAGTGGATGATAGGAAAGACGTCGTGGAAGTTCCCGAAATAAAGACCGAAGGTGACAAGTTTATCTCTTGTGAAAACAGGTGTGATTCTGACCCAGAAAGGAGGGACCCGCACCATGCTCGCACGGACGCCCTGGATGGCGGGGCGCAGGCCCCCTTCCCCGGGGCTGAGGAGGATGACAGCCAGTGCCTGGCCGTGATGACAGAGGAGTCCGTGGACCTGGAGAAGGCGAAGGGGAACTTAAGTTTGCTGGAGCAGGCCATCGCCCTGCAGGCCGAGCGAGGCTGTGCTTTCCATAGCACCTACAAAGAGCTGGACAGGTTTCTGCTGGAGCACCTAGCCGGGGAGAGGAGACAAGCCAAAGTGACTGACGGGGGTGGAAGGCAACTCTTTAACAATAAACGTAAGACATGCTTTTGCATTTACTTTAGAAAGAAAATGGCATTAGGGTTAGAAAAAAAATTAGTTACGACTTGCTTACTTCTTCCAGATAGCTGTTTGGACAACTTCACACCATTTGAAAACTAGTTTATATTTAAATTATAAAATAAGCAATTTCTCTAAATTGTTCTCAAATCAAGCTTGGTCAGTTGTGTAGTGTTTTGACACACGATAAAAGGATCATTGCCTCTATTCTAATTTGATTGCTTTTAAAAAGAATATAGTACTTTTAAAAAAGTACTTTATTGTATGTTAGAAGTATATTAGTACTTATTGGATTTTAAATCATCATATTAATCAAGTCAATTCCAGAAATTTATTATTTCTTTCCCACCTTCTTTCTGGGGTCATCTGACTGTCTTTAAGCTTCAAAATAGCCCGGCCAGTGTGGCTTAGTGGTTGAGCATCAACCTATGAACCATGAGGTCATGTTTCGATTCCTGGTCAGGGCACATGCCCAGGTTGTGGGCTCCATCCCCAGTGGGGGACGTGCAAGAAGCAGCTGATTAATGATTCTCTCTCATCATTGATGTTTCTATCTCTCCCTCCCTCTGAAATTAATAATAATAATAAAAAAATAATGTTAAACTACTTGCAAGTCAAGCAGGATGATCTATCTGATCCTTCTTAGGATAAAACTGGCTGTTAATGCTTTTATAAGCCTCTGCTTTTTACAAGCTCTCTGACTCAGGGTCCACAAAAATCTGGGCCAAGCTTGAATGCGAGAGTAAATAAGCTTAAAATTGTTCCTCAGACTTTAGGGAAATCGTGTTTTCTCTGCCATAAAGACAATCCCCTCCCCCACCCCACCCCTAGCCTTGCTCAAGGTGGGCCTGATGGTGATTTTTTACAGTTAAGTGGAGTTTCCCAGATGGTGGTATGTAAGTGCCTAGAAAGCTTGTTTAAGATGGGTATTTCCAGGATCTCATGAGACTCACTGCTCCAGAACTCGACATTTTTAAAGCAAGTTTGTCAATTGATTCTTGGACACCTGAAGGCTGGTAACCCCAGAATCAGGGAAAATCAAGGTGGTGGCCCCAAGCTTATGCTCATTAGAAGAGTTGGATGTTTGGTTGCTATTTATGCATGAATGAATGGTTTTGTCATTTTAAGTCCGTTTTAGTACTCACCTGCAATCTTGTTAGGTATTGCCTTGCAGCTCAGAGCTGAGAAAGCAGAAAAGAATAAGATGACGTCACATAGTGAGGAGCAAGATAATGCTATGCAAACATTCTGCCAGGGTTGGGATGGGGACAGAATATTAATGACGTGTGTGTGGTTTGGGACAGGACACTGTATTTAGCTCTGTGTACTCTACTAATATGCAACTGTTGGACTTATCTGCGTGTTTGGGCTTTTTGTTTGTTTGTTTGATTTTTTTTTTTAATAAACTGCAAGCCAAAAATAAAAAAGAAATTTACTTCCAATTCCCCCAACTCATAATATCTAATATATTACATTTCATTCATCCTATGATACATAGTTTCCCAGTTTAATATCTCTGAAATCAAAGAATGTGCCATAATTAAATTTTAATAGTTGTTTCTTTCTTACTAGCATACAAATTATGTTTCATCTTACAATTGATGAAATCTTCCAGCCAATGAAATCCAGTATTTGGAGAAATTTTAATTATTTGTGCTACAGCTTAAAATACTTGATGATCCTTGGGTCAATTTTGTAGATCTTTTGAAACTATTTTTTGTTTTCAAAACTTAACAAGGCATTGGAATCTGTGCTTGTAGACTTGGGTGATGTTGGAGATTTACTGAATGACTAATGCTGCTGCATGGGTCAACAGTATGTCTTATTGCGTAAAGCATTGTCCTGCCTTGGGGTGTAAACAGCCAATTCAAGGAAGATCCAGACCAGATTAGTATATAACAGAGAGGGAAAAAGAAGTGGAACTCAGCCCTAACTGGTTTGGCTCAGTGGATAGAGCATCGGCCTGCAGACTGAAAGGTCCCAGGCTCGATTCCGGTCAAGGGCATGTACCTTGGTTGCGGGCACATCCCCAGTGGGGGTTGTGCAGGAGGCAGCTGATCGATGTTTCTCTCTCATTGATGTTTCTGACTCTCTATCTCTCTCCCTCCCTTCCTCTCTGTAAAAAATCAATAAAATGTATTTTTTTTAAAAAAAGAAGTGGAACTCAGAGAAATTGTAGGTGTGGTCCAGAGAATGCCTACAGAGTCCAAATTAAGTATTCACTTTCCTGTTCCTCTTTTTAGATTTGGGAGCCAGCAGCATTAGATGTGCTTTTTTTCTCTGGCATAAATTCCATGCTTCTAAGTCAACACTTTTCCCAAATGATAGCCACACTCTTCAAAATATCATCCTCATGTTCTATAGACTGTGGGCATGTGACAGCTGTTAAGGAGAGAACAGTAGAATTTTAAAATGTCATTTTACCCAAGACTTCAGATGAGTCAGCAATTCTAAAGTAAAGTTTGACTATCCTGTTGCCACCAAGCATCTAGTGAGACTTCAAGTCGAAATATAAGTAGAGTCATCGTAGAATGTATAGTTCAGCCTCTTGGAGTGAAGGGGAGTGATATGAACAGCCGCACAGGTATATCAGGCGGGAACTAGGACAGTCCCAGACAAGCCAGGATGTAGAGTCATCAGGGGAGACGGTCATTATGCAGCATTTCACACAGAAAATGGAGGAGCCAGGCCTGAGATCACAGGAGCTCTGGCTTCTCAGCCTGCACAGGGGCTCTGCCCTATAGAGCATTTCATTAGCATCTCGTTTCGCCGACAGAAAAGAGCTTGCAGACAAAGGTGCATGATGGACGTCAGGGGACCACACCTGGTCAGGAGCCAGCCGGCCTTATCTCCCACACCCTCTCTGGCTTCCTGTACACCGATAGTGTGGCAAAGAGGAGGCACACTCGACGCCAAACCTTTCAGTATGGTTTAGAAATGTGGCCTCACCTGGGTGAGGTCCAAGAGAGGAAAGGCACCGAATTACACATTGTTTCTCCTTTTTTTCTAATTCCCTCTCCTGTGCTGTCAACCCTCCGAGTTCCGCTATCAGCAAACTTCAAGGAATTTGACCAGCGGTCTACCGGAGAGTACAACCTGAAAGTGGGCAACATTTTTGGATTCAATAAAATCAATCACCATAAAAATCATAGAACAAGTCAAAGCTCTTAATAGGACCCTTTTGTCTCTTACAGAAAAGTGTATGTTCTCCACATGATGGCATTTAAATCCTGTCTCTCTTTAAACAAAACGCCTGCTCCTCAAGGCATCCCTATCTTCCTCTCTTCATTTCTCACTTAACTTAAAGCTTTCTTTCGGCTCCCCTAACCCCAGCCCCTGAGCGACAGCTTGAAGGACCCTTGGCTCCTCCCCCTTTGCTGAAACCATGCTCCCAAATAATTGCATTACATACAACCTGCTGTGCCCACCTGCCCAGGACCGCTTGTACTCCAACAACTGGGGTGGCATGCTATCTCAGAGGCACGTCTGCTCTCACAGTCCTCTGCCCTGGAGACGGCTGCCACACCACACAACATTGTCCTGCTCCCCGGGCCACGCTTGGAGTGGCAGCACATGTGCCCTCCACATCCACCAGGCAGGACTCGCCCCCCCCAACCCCCACACCCCTGTCCCATCGCCAGCAGCTTATTTATTTTCATTATTATTTTTCATTCCATGCACTAGTGAGGGAGGCCGTTTGGCTATAAGAATGCATTTGTGTTTGAAGTTCATCTGCCATCTCGACCACAAATATGAAAATTCTATAAAGGCCTCTCTGTTAGTTCTAGCCTCCTTAGTAGCTCTGTTAGTTCTCATTAATTTTATATATTTAGCCAGCCCTTTAGCTAACCCTCAGCCATGTGTGTGCCGGGAGACCAGAAGATTAACACCCGGGGCTTGTCTTCAGCCCTTCCCCGGACCAAAGTGTCCCCGTCCCTGCCTGGCTGTGCCTGGGACCCACACCCCCACCTCTGCTCTTGGCAGCACCCTCCAGGCCATGCAGGGCGGCCTCCACTCTTCGTACGTCCATTCTCTCTCAGTCTCCCGCAAGAATGTTGCTTTGCCAAACCTCCTTCCTGTTGCCTCTGTTTTCAGCTTTTGCGTTCAGAGTAAAGCCAGCAGCGCCTTTTCTGTAGTCACTTGCTGCAGATCCCAAATGGCAAACCACTGGCGTTTTAGAACCTTGGGCCTCTGCAGCACTGGGTATGGCACCAGGTGGCATGCTGGCATCCTTGTCCTAACTCCTGCAGAAGCAGGTTCCACACGTGTCCAGGAGCAGCTGCTGGGCCCTGAAGCCTGGGGCCACCTGCTCTGTGAGTGACAAGGCCAGAGATGTCTTTCTCAGATGTGGTGGCTTCTTTGTTTTGTCATCTTGAGCCGGCTTTTTCCAGACGCCTTCAACAGGAGGTAGTTTTTGGTTTAAATAAAGTCTTTCTTCTTTCTCACTTTTTTTCTTTTTCTTTTCAGGAGCCTGTGTATTCTGTGGTGTGGTCTTGCTGTTTCACAATGAGGCTCTAACTACAATCGGTGGCATGACAACTTAAAGCCATCTTGTGTTTTAACACTCCCTTGCCCTGGGTCAGCCTCTGCTTAGGAAACCAAGGAAATTGAAAATCTTTTTTATGTGTCCACAGGTCTTAGTTGAGGGTCTCACTCAAGGCAACGTGAGAAGAATGTTTATGATGATAAAACTGAATAAAGTGAGAATGTCACCCTGCAAGGCCGTTCTTTTGAAAAGGAAGGGAAAGGAGAATAACTAAATGAATCTTTCCATTTCATTTCTCTGCAGATTCCCCGAGGCCTGAGAAGAGGGAGACCAAGTGCCCCATCCCCGGGTGTGACGGCACAGGCCATGTGACAGGGCTCTACCCCCACCACCGCAGCCTTTCGGGGTGCCCCCACAAAGTGCGGGTTCCCCTCGAAAGTGAGTACTGCTTATCCCTAAAAGAAGGAGGTGCCTTGTTGTACATCCCACAGCAACACAGTATGATCCTCTTTCTCCTCTAATTAGGAATTAGGAATGGAAATACAAAGTTGTTAAACATTTCATCAAGGTAATTTTCGTCTGGCCTGGTGTTTAAAATACAGTGTAGAGATAGAAAACGTGGGAACAGTCCGGCCAATAGATCATGCGATGACTGATAGTGAGAAGATAATTTGTTACTCACAGTTCCCAAGAGGAGGGGGCAGGCCTCACCAGGCAGGGCCACCTGGGAAGTCCCAGGGCCAGTCGGGGGGCAGAGTGACGGTGGGGTGTGTTGTGGGCAACAACCTTTATTGTGGTTACCTGGGAAGGAACAGAGTGAGCAGGTTTAAGATTGGCTAGATCAGTGGTCGGCAAACTGCGGCTCGGCAAACTATGGCTCGTGAGCCACATGCGGTTCCATGCGCGCTTGCACGTGGTATTTTGTGGAAGAGCCACACTCAAGGGGCCAAAGAGCCGCATGTGGCTCCTGAGCGGCGGTTTGCCGACCACAGGGCTAGATTGACTCCTTTCAGTGGGTTCTGGCCCTGGGAGGTTGGGGCAGGTGAGAGGGTTCTGTAATGCCAGAACCTGATGAAAGAGGCAGTTGGGTGAGGGCTCAGAAGGGGTTGGTTTGCCACTGAACAGTGTTTACTGTGTCTAGGAATTAGGTAGCCCTGGGAGGGCAGGCTCCCCACGGTTAGCAAGGCCCCAGATATCAAAGCATCGAAGTACAGAAAATGAAAGGCATGGCTGATACGCTGTGTGACCGCACAGCCCTTTCTTACTCAGAGGCCTGGGTTCCTTATGCCCACAAGGAGCGTTAGCCTCAGTGCATCATTGAAATGTGGGAAGTGCACCACTTCGCCAGTGCCCTCTGGACCGCTGCACAGAGGGTCACGGAATGTCTGGGATGTTACCCCAGCACAACCTACAGCAGCTGGGGGCCATAGAAAAGAGCAAACCTGAGTTGGTCTCTCCACCCACATGCCCACTGTGAACTAGGAAACTAAAGGAAAAGGAAGGGACTGCCTCCTAGGTTTTCAAGTATCTCTGTGTTACATCCTCTACTTTTTGAACCTACTCATTGAAACACCTCTTGGGTCATAAAAACCACAGTGATGGGCATGCCTCAACATCACCTTTCTCAAAAGGTTTTTTTTTTGCAGATCACTGAAACTAACCAGCTCATCACTGCCCCACTGGATTAGCAGTTCCTCACACTGATTGCCTCAACCATACTCTTCCACCAATAGTGGAATGGCAGTGAGGGTGAGGAGTGGAGGGTGATGGACAAAGAATCAAAATAATGTCTGTTGGGAAATTAAAAAAGACCATATTCAGAACTTCACACTGTGGGGAAAAGATAGAAAGAACAACTATCTATACTAATAAAAGCCTAGGTGCCTCTCGTGTGTGACATCATCACAAGATGGCCACCACAAGATAGCTGGCACAAGATGGCCACATGTACAGCAGAGGTGGGGCCTGGCGACTGCTCCGCACACTGAGACCTGGGGGTCCTGTGGCTCTGTGCGGCATGGAGGAGGCAGGTCCCAGCATCTCCGCCACCTCGCGCGGAGGAGGCAGGTTTCAGCAGAAGAGGAGGGTCGCAGCAGCGGAAGGCAATTGTGGACAATCGGGCCAGGAGAGGAGGGCAGTTGGGGGCCATCAGACTGGCAGGGGAGGGCAGTTGGGGGCCTTTGGGGTAGCAGGGGAGCAGTTAGGCATCAATCAGGCCAGCAGGGGGTGGTTAGGGGCAATCAGGCTAGCAGGCAGAAGCAGTTGGGCGCAATCAGGCAGGCAGGCAGGTGAGCAATTAGGAGTAGTGTTCCTGAATTGAGAGAGGGATGTCCGACTGTGGGATTGGGCCTAAACCGGCAGTCGGACATGCCCCAAGGGGTCCCAGATTGGAGATGGTGCAGGCCGGGCTGAGGGACCCCTCCCCATGTGCATGAATTTCATGCACTGGGACTCTAGTTTGATAAATAATGTTTTCCATTCACTCCAAGGAAAAGCATCTATCTATCTATATCCTATCTAATAATAGAGAAACATGGTAATTAACCATAACTTTGCTACCCTTCCCATTGGCTAATCAGCAAGATATGCAAATTAACTGCCAACCAAGATGGCGGCCGCAGCCAGGTGGCC